GAGAGGAGTGTGGGGTGAGGCTGGGCTCTCGTCGCCCCTCTGCAGAGGAACAGAACTGCTCTCTGGCCCCATGACTGGTCAGGTGTCGTGTCTTCTGACCCACCCTAGGAACAGTCTCGCTAGCTGCTCCAGCGCATCATGCAGTGACTGCATCGAGAGGTGCACGGAGGACTCCCAAGACAATGACTACGTCGTCCTGAGGGAGGAGGCATGTGGGAAGAGTAGAGAGGGGATATAGTGTCCCTCACAATTGAAATCGAAATTCCCACATGTGCACATGGACCCCAGCCGACAGCAGACTCCTCCAGCCTTGGCATGCAGTTGGTTTTGCCACCCGGCAGTCACTAACTCTTGCCTGGGGAATCCCTCTGCCTTCTCTCCAGGTAACGACCAGACTCCAGTCCTGTACCTCAACGCTTCCAGTGCCAAGGAGGGGGAATAATTTTCTTTCAGTGTGTCATTGATTGGCAGTTTCCTGCTACACGAGTTGTCTTCTGCAAGAATGGGCAGGAGGAGTTCAGCCTGAAAGCCCAGCAGGGCAAGGTCATCTATGCTCTGGTCCTGAACATCACCTCCAGAAGTGCTGGGACGTACACGTGTGGATACCAGCAGAGGAACGAGAGCAACTGGGTGAGGAACTCTGCTCTCAGTGCTCCCCAGACCCTGTCTGTACCAGGTGAGACACGGCCCCAGTGTGGTGGTGGCAGAAGGGACATGGGCACTTGCCACCACATGGCTGTGCTGAGGCTGGAGCTGTGTGCTGCAGCAGGCAGGGCATGGCTCTGGGGTGGTTCCCCCTTGGGAGAGCTGCTCTCAAGGGCTGCCCCTGTCCCTTCATCAGCACCTACACAATAGGTAGACTTTGTGAAGCAGACGAGGGCATGTGCCCTGAAATGTTTAGGATACTCAGTGTGTTTTCGGCACTTTTACGCCTCCCCTGGGGATGGTTCTGGCTGTCGGTGGGGGGATGTGCCCATGGGGCTGTGTGTCCCCTGCCCCACACACACGTGCTCAGGGATGTTGCAGGACACGAGATAAATATGTGCCTAGTCTGGGCAGTACGGGGCATGCTGCAGACCCTCATCCTGTTCCTTTCTCCTGCCAGGCAGTGTGGCCAGCTCCCCAGCAAGGCCATTGCCCCCAGGTGAGTGATTCTCTCCTGTACCCCGATGCTGCCAGGCGCCCAGTGCAGCTCGCCATGTCATCCTAATCTACAAGAATGGCCCCAGGCAAGGCCTGGGACTGAAGCTGGGCCCTGGGCCCAGGCTCAGGGAAGTGACTTGCCTAGCCTGCCTGTCTGCAGGCCCCCAGCAACTCCACCACCCACAGGTGAGTGATTCCCTCCTACCCCTCAGGACCACCAGAATGGGTCTCAGTCACTCCAGCGTGCTGTCCCCAGGGAACGGGCCCATGCAGGAGCTTCACCAGGCAGGAGGTCTGCCAGCTGCACGGGCACATCCTGCTCCCTGCCTCTCCCCATCACACCCTGCTGCCCTCACACCCTCTGTCCCCCAACTCCAAATTCCCGGATCCCACACACCCTCCCCACAGGCACGGCACTGGCAGTGGCGGCTGTCGGCCTCATCCTTCTGGCTGCAGGCAGCTGGTTTGCCATCAGGAAAGGTGAGGGAGTGGGGGAAGGTGGGGGAAAGGCTGAGGCCGTGGGGGTCCTGCTGCTAGGCTGGTGCAGTGGGAAAAGCGTTGGGGGGGTACCTGGGGGTGCACAGCTGGGGCAGACGGTGCCTGGGGGTGATGGATGTGGGCAGCCCATCTGGGGAGGCTGCTGAGGGAGCTGGGGAGCTTCAGCCTTCATCCCCCAGCCCCGAGATGGGAGCCAGGGCTGGGCAGCACCTTGGCCTGTGCACCTCAGCCCCTGTTCTTCTTCCAGGTGCGTGCAGAGGGAGATGTCCAAGGTGAGCACCAAGGGCTGCTGGCTGTGGGGTATGAAGGAGGGAGTTGGGGGCATGGCGGGGCCCTGGGGTGCTCCTTGGCAAGGGACAGTTTCCTGTGCAGAAGGCAGGAAGGATGGGGCTTGTCTTGGGCTGCCCTCCAGTTCAATGACAAATGCAGGAAAGCAACACCAAAGGGCATAAGCTTCATGACCCCTCCTCAGCACATGCACATCCCAGAACCATTCCATTCCTCTCCAGGCAGCAGCACGTTGACAGCCCACAGACGGAAGACACCAACAACGGCAATATTCAGTGTGAGTACTACCTCTTCCCTTGGGGGAAGCCACATGCTCCTCTCCCCATGAGAATCCTCTGCAAGCCCCCATGCAATCCCATCACTTCATTTCCACTGGGACATACAAAATCCCTGCCCGTTCATCAAGGCCAGGTTTCTCTCCAGCACCTCACGTCCTGCTTCTTCCTTGCATGCAGAGCGTGGCTGCTGGCTGCACAAGGGACATGGCAGCATCCCAGTGCTCCCAGGGACAAAGCCCATTTGCCTGGGGGGCTCCTTCCACACTGGCTCCAGCCTCACGCTGCAATTCCCCTCCTCCAGCCAACACTTTTCTCTCTTCTTATATTTTCCATCACAAGGATTTCTTTTTTACAAGAGCAGCCCAAAGCACAGCGCAGCAATGAAGGATGTGGCTCTGTTTCCTTGCACTGCTGGGGAAAATATCTTATAGCTTGCTCTGAAACCACAGCCAGCAGCCAAGGGAGGATGTTGTGGTTGGGCGACAGGCTATAGATATATCTTCACCCTACATGTACTGTGCTTGAGTTGCAGCATGACCTTGTTTTCCCACGAGTGCACAGAGCAGTTTAGGATGCTGTGTGGGAGACGGTGTCAAAGACTTTTACTGAAATCAAGATAGACCACATCCACTGCTTTAATATCATCTATCCCCCTGGCCATATCCTCAGAAAGGCTCTCAGTTCGGTCAAGCACGACTTCCCCTTGGTGAAGCCATGTTGACTGCCCCTAATGAAACTTTTATCCTTGATATGCCTGGAGACAACGCCAAGGCTAAGTTGTTCCATCAGCTTTGCAGGGATGGAGGTGAGGCTGACTGGTCTATAGTTACCTGGGTCATCCTTCTTTCCCCTTTGGAAGACTGGAGTAAAACTTGCTTTCCTCCAGTCCTCAGGCAACTTTCCTGATGCCCATTACTTACCACAGATAATGGATAATGGCCTAGCAATGAATTCCACCAACTCCCTCAGCTCTGGCATGAGCATCTTGAGCATCCCATCGTGACTAGTGGATTTATGGACGTCCAGAGATGTTTATTTTTCTTCTAAACAAAACGACATCTCCAGCACACATGCCAATTCTCAGACACATGCAAGCACATCCCTGCAGTGATACCGGTCCCTATAGGTCCAAATGTCCATCTGTGTGGGTGCAAGGAAGACCAGCCCTGTGACTTTATCATGCAGTTTAGGAATACATAATTTCCAGTGAGCACAGGGAGATGGTTTCACATGAGGAAAAACCATTGATACACTCACAATATTACTTGGTACACCTGATATAGTTTAGAGGTATTAATTTATTGCAAACAGAGATATGAGTCCTTCATCCTCTTGGCTAGACACATACAGCCGTTCCCTTTGAAACAAAACCCCAAAGAAGCCCAAATGCAACCCGCAGCCCCACGTTTGGGTGCACAAGAACTCTGCAGGAGAGCAAAGGCATCTGTGGACAAGGCTCCTGTGCCCTTGCCCTGTGGCTGCACTATCAGGTCTTGGTGCGGGTCACCATGGCGTACGTTGTGGTGTTTCTCATTTGCTGCACGGAGGAGGCTTTAGGGGGAAAAGAAACCCTGTTACTTCAGCTGCTGACTGTGAGCCCTGCACAATGAGCGTGCACCAGGCTGCAGGAGTGCAGAAAGGAGCTGTGCACAGCTGTGCCACGACTCACCCTGTCTCGTCGAACATGGGCAATGGTGGAGTCTGTGGGGAAAAAACACTCGATGATCCCTTGCTGATTGGAGTGGGGTAAACCCCCGCGAGCTTTGGACATCAGCTGCCTGAGGTCAGATCTCAACGCGTGACCACATTTCCTCTCCCATCACCCTGATCTGGGACTTGAATTAAGCAGCAGTGGAACAAAGATGCTGAGGTTTTGGTGTATTTCCACCATTCTGTGGCATCGCCTCTCTTTGCACAGCCAGCACACCTTGCAAAATGCTCTGTACAGGCGTGGGTAAACAAGGTTGTGCTGCAACTCGTGCTAAGTGCACGTAGGGTGGGGATATATCTGTAGCCTATCGCCCAACCACAACATCCTCCCCTGGCTGCTGCCTGTGGTTTCAGAATGAGCTATAAAATGTTTTCCCCAGCAGTGCAAGGAAACAGAGCCACAGCTTTTTGCTGTGATGTGCTTTGTGTAGTTCTTGAAGCAGAAATGACACTGAAGAGAAACTGAAGAAAGGACAAAAGCAGAGGCTGAAGCAGGGGAAATGCAGCCTGAGGGGAGCTGGTGTGGAAGGAACCCCCCAAGCAAAAGGGCTTTGTCCCTGGGAGCACTGGGATGCTGCCATGTCCCTTGTGCAGCCAGCAGCCACGCTCTGCATGCAAGGAAGAAGGACGACGTGAGGTGCTGGAGAGAAACCTGGTCTTGATGAACAGGCAGGGATTCTGTATGTCCCAGTGGGAAATGAAGTGCTGGGATTCCACCTGACACGGGTGCATGGCTTCCGCCAAGGAGGAGGTAGTACTCACATGTGACTTCGCCATGGTCTGTGGTTTCCATCTGTGGGCTGTCAACGTGCTGCTGCCTGGAGAGGAATGGAATGGTTGTTGGGTGTGTGTTTGCGGTGAGGTTGCCACATGAGAAACACACTTGGGTCATGCTTCCTACGTCATGTGGTGAACTGGAGTGCAGCACATAGCAAGCCCCATCCTCCCTGCCTCCAGCACAGGGAATGCAGCCACACACACACACAGAGAACACTGTTCCCTCGCCAAAGGAGCACCCCAGGGCCCCGCCATGAACCCAACTCCCTCCAGCAAACCCCACAGCCAGCAGCCCTTGGTGCTCACCTTGGGCATCTCCCTCTGCAGGCACCTGCAAGAAGAACAGGGGCTGAGGTGCACAGGCCAAGGTTCAGCCCAGCCCTGGCTCCCATCTCGGGGCTGGGGGACGAAGGCTGAAGCTCCCCAGCTCCCTCAGCAGCCTCCCCAGATGGGCTTCTCACAGCCATCACCCCCAGGCACCTGTCTGCCGCAGCTGCACACCCCGAGGTTCGCACCACCTCTTTTGTCTCTGCACCAGCCCCGCAGCTGGACCCCCACGGCGTCAGCTTTTCCCCCCTTTTTTCGCCACTCCCTCACCTTTCCTGATGGCAAACCAGCTGCCTGTAGACAGGAGGACGAGGCCGACGGCCGCCACTGCCAACACTGTGCTTTTGGGGAGAGTGTGAGGGATCCATGCATGTGGAGCAGGGGGAGAGAGGGTCTGAAGGCAGCGGGGTGTGATGGAGAGAGGCAGGGAGCAGGACACACCCGTGCAGCTGTCACAACTCCTGCCTGGTAAAGCTCCTGCTTGTCCCCATGCCCTGGGGAAGGCAGCACAGCACTCCCACTCCCCATGCTCGGGTTTCTGGGGGTATAGGAGGGAATCTCTCACCTGTGGGTGGTGGACTTGCTGGGAACTCACCACATTGCCTGGCACGACAAAAGGACAGGCTTAGTGTCTACAGTGCATCCAGATCCTTCCCAGAATGAGCCTCAGCCCCATGGCCACATCCCCCATCGACAGCCAGCAACATCCCCAGGGAACGAATAAAAGTGCCTGTGGCTTTTGTGGCAACCTGGGCCCCCATGGATCAGCTGTCTAAATTCCCTCGTGAGTGGTTAAGAATAGCTTGGCCAAGGTGTGCCTGCCCATTAAATATGGCACCACCACTCTCATCTCTCTGTGATTCTGGGGGCTAGAGGATCACACAATCACAGAATGGCCAAGGTTGGAAGGAACCTCTGAATGTCATGGAGTCCAGCCTTTTGGAGAGCAGGATCAGCTAGGACAGACTGCACAGAATGGCATCCAGGTGGATTTGGAATATCTGCAGAGGAGACTCCACAGCATCTCTGGGCAGCCTGTTCCAGTGCTCTGTCACCCTCCCAGTAAAGAAATGCCCCTCATATTCAGATGGAACTTTCTGTGCTCCCATTTGGGCCTGTTGCCTTCTCACCCTTTCCCTGGGCACAACTGAAAAGAGACCAGCACCATTCTCTCAACTCCCTCCCCTCAGATATTTATAGACATGGATGAGGTCTCCCCTCAGTCTCCTCTTTTCCAGGTTAAAAAGGCTCAGCGCTCTTGGCTCCGGTCCTCTGATCATCTTTGCAGCCTTCCTCTGGACTCTCTCCAGTAGTTCTATGCCCCTCTTGTACTGGGGACCACAGAATTGCACCAAAATGCTTTGTGTTCCACGCAGAGAAATGATTCCTTCCCAGGAGCTCTCGCCCAGAGAACAAATTCCCTCTCCCTTGCCATCACCACCCCACACACACCTCTCTTCAGTCACCCATCCCCACTCTCAACCTCACCTGGGGAGCTGCAGATGCCCTGGGTGGTTACGCCAGCACCTGCAACTTGGGGCACAGTGGGTTTTGTTTAGAGGGAGTGAGAGCTGGGGCACCCACACGCTTGTGCCCATGTCCCTATTGCTGGGTCCTTGCCGTGTCCTCCCTGCTGTGTCCTTGCCCAGCTCATGACAGTCATCCCACTTGCCCTGCCATAGGCTCATCAATGCACAGGGCAGACCTTGGAGCATCCCTGGCTCAACCCAACATTCATCCACATCCCCAGCCCTTGCTCTCTCTGAATGGGCTCTGCAGAGCTCCATCTCTGCAGCAGAGGTGATGCTGCAGGGACAGGGGAACCCCTTGAGAGCAGCTCTCTCTGTCTAGGGGCTGCCTTGGAGGAGAGGGAACACTCCCATGGGGGAACCACCCCAGAGCCTGCTGCAGCACACAGCTCCAGCCTCAGCACAGCCATGTGGTGGCAAGTGCCTCCATCCCTTCTCACCCCTCCAGCCCGTTTCTCACCAGGGACATCCAGGATGCGGCCAGCACTGAGGGCAGAGCTCCTCCTCTGTTTCATCTCATTCCACTCCTGGTACCCACAGGTATATATTCCTGCGCTTCTTGACGTGATATTCAGGACCACGGAGTAGTTCAGCTGCCCTTGATGGGCTTTCAGACTGTACACCTCCTTCCCATCCTTGCAGAAAATGATTTTCTTACAGGTGACACCACAGGGAGAATACACTGGGGAACAACTCTTTTACCTGGCTGAGCAGAATTTGAGTTCATTTGGAGAGCAGGAGCTTGGAGATCCCCTGGAGGACACACAGCAGTGAAGGGCTGCCATAGAGCAGAGCTCACAGTGGTTGGGCTTCCAAGTGCCCTGGGTCTGGGAGGGAAGGACTCACGAGTACCTGGGAGCTGCAGATGTCCTGGGAGCTCATGCTGGCAGCTGTACCTGGGGGCAGAGAGGCATTTGCTGAGAGGGACGGAGTCCAGGCTCATCCAGATTTTCGTACTCCCACATTCCCCCTGACTAATACCTCACTGCGAAGCACACATCATCACATCTGCGTGTTTTCATGCTGTATCTCTTGATACAGCATAATAACGTCTTGAACAATGCCAATCCCAATTCCATCTTGTGGAGATTTCATCTTCTAGGTAAGTCCCATAGCTCTGTAAAGACCTCAGCGCTCCTAGAGTCTCAGAGCAATACTCTAGAAAAATTTATGGTGCTGGAGAAGTGTGCCGCTTGCTCAGATTCTGTATCATACTTGGAGGAAGCCATCCCCATCATGCCTTGCCCAGAGCAACGATGCCCCTCAATACTGCACACCTGCCCCACACACACTGTCCCCATCCTCCCCTGTGCCCACTACTGGCCTATCCTGCCCCCAGCAGCAGCCCTCCAGCTCTCAGCCCCCACACCCAGCAATGCCCCAACTCACAGAGTGCCAGCAGCAGGATGGCATGGCCAGAAGGAGACAGCCTTGCCCATGGCGCCTGCCCCAGCATCTTTTGGGGCACTGCTTTTGGGGAGCAGCGTCTTCTTCAAGTTTCTGCTTTGCTCTGAACTGGGGACGGTGGGGCAGAGGCTTGTGGTTCAGCTGGGGGCTGTGCTGTTAGCTTTCTGTGGCCACCTGAGCCTGGCCCACAGCCAGAGGCTCTCATCAGTGGGGACCTTGCCTAAGAACCTGCTACATCCGCTGCTTTTGTTGAGCCCCCACTGTTTTTTCTCTCCTCTCACACACTGCAGCACACGCTAGTTTTACTTGTATCTCAGGGGCAACATTGTCCCTGTAAGAGCTCCTGCCCCTCATCCCCACTCGGATTTGCCCTCGTCTGACCACATCAGTCTGCTTCTCTTCAATGTCTAGACAAATGATGGCATCAGGGGAATCCTGCACCAAGGCCAAAGTGACGCCAGAGCTCTGGGGCAGCTGCCAAGGCTGTGGGCAGATTTCTCCTTCATCCCGTTGGTGAATCAGCTGATGAAGAACTCTCAGGGAGTCTCAGCTGGGGCCATAGTGCTGCCAGCACAGCACTGTTGGAGCCATCTGCACGCACACTTTGACCCTCATGTGACCACACAACAACCAGGAAAGGCAGAGGCTTCGTCCTGAAGGCACCTGAGCTCCCCCACGCTGCTCTCTCAATTCCCTTCCTCAAAGGAACGTGCTGAGCCAAGGGAAGCAGAGCAGTGGCAGCACATCCCTTGGGCATGCTGCCACAGCTGCCTTGAGACCAAAGGCAGTGGGAGCCAGGCCATGGTGGGGGTCATGCTCTGAGCATGGGGGAGCAGGCTGGGGACAGCATGGAGACCAGGGGGACATCGGAGCTCCATGGGGACAGGGAAGTCTCCAGGCTGTCTGGCCTCATGGGCACCATGGCTGCATCTCTCCAGGGGTAGGGTGATGATGGGGGCAGACAGCAGCAGGAGCAGGCTGAGGGCAGAGCACAGGATCCAGACCTCCAGGGGCATGGCTGACCCTTGGAGAGAGGAGGAACACAGTGTGGCCAAGGCAAGCCTTGGAGGACGGCTGTGCTGGGAAGGGCTGATGAGCAATGTCTCACCTCTGGAAGGGAGCTGGGCCTTGTGTGAGGGGCTGCTGCCTGTGAGAGACATGAACATGCTGTGAGTTTCTGGAGCTCGTTGCTGGGACAATCCCAGATGCTGAGCAGACCCTGAGCTCGTGTCTTACTTCCTTGTGTACATGGTGAGCATTAACAACCAAGCCCTTCTCAGTTCCCTGACATAGGTTAGTAAAGGTATGATGGAGAGCTTGGAGCAGTACTGGCACAGTCCAGGGCCTACTGATATCCCCAACTCTTGCTTTTTTTACATGGGCACTGCAGAGCCCCATGTCTCAGCAGAGGTGCTACTGCAGCTACAGGGGAACTCTTGAGGCAGTTAAAGATCTTTATCTGCCGTTAAAGATAACAAAAAACGCTTTTATAAACACATCAGCACAAAAAGGAGGACTAAGGAGAATCTCCAGCCTTTACTGGATGTGGGGGAAACTTAGTTACAAGAGATGAGGAAAAGGCAGAGGTGCTCAATGCCTTCTTCACCTCAGTCTTTAGCGGCAATACCGGTTGTTCTCTGGATACCCAGCACCCTGAGCTGGTGGAAGGGGATGGGGAGCAGGATGTGGCCCTCACCATCTACGAAGAACTGGTTGGTGACCTGCTACGGCACTTGGATATGCACAAGTCGATGGGGCCGGATGGGATCCACCCAAGGGTACTGAGAGAACTGGCAGAGGAGCTGGCCAAACCACTATCCATCATTTATCAGCAGTCCTGGCTATTGGGTGAGGTCCCAGCTGACTGGCGGCTAGCAAATGTGACGCCCATCTACAAGAAGGGCCGGAGGGCTGACCCGGGGAACTACAGGCCTGTCAGTTTGACCTCAGTGCCAGGGAAGCTCATGGAGCAGATCCTCTTGGGAGTCATCATGCGGCACTTGAAGGGTAAGAAGGCGATCAGGCCCAGTCAGCATGGGTTTATGAAAGGCAGGTCCTGCTTGACGAA